ATCTACAGGTTTACTCCGGCTCTGTTCCCCCTCACCAGGACAGCTGTGAGTCATCCAGCTCCTATAAGAAGTCAGTAGCCCTTGTGCCACCATTTCCACCAAACCAAGGTAAGTGTGTACACAGTTATTAATCTTTTGCATCATCTCTCTCTCATAAGGTGTAATGTCTAAACCTCTTGTTGACCAGGGTATATTTTGGTTTGTCCATCTGAATTTCCATGACCAAATCATAAGGCAAATTATTCAGTAACTGCATGAAATAAATGTACATTTTTATTTTATTTGTTTATTTATTTTTTGTAAACGTTCCCCTCAAATTAACAGAACATGTGTTTTATGATACACATATTGCTATATGCTTACAATTTACTGCTGAAAGCCAAAAATCTTAGACGCTCTTTGTATTATTTTATAAAAATAATGTTTACAGAGCAGATCACTGAAGAGACGCCATCTGTTTATAGTTTATAGCCCAGATTTGTGAAAAATGGGTCGACTTTCAGTAGAAAAAAAACTGAGTTCAGCTTCTTTTATTATAAGGGTTTAAAATTACATCACCCATCTATTTGACTGGAAAGAAGACAGTTCCAGCTCTCATACGACCCCCACCTTTAGAACGTAGCTTATGAAATATGAACGTTATAAAGAATATGATGAAGTGCGTTTTAGAACCACCGGTGGTCTCAAGGAGTTTAAGAGGTTAAACAGTTTTGGTGATGTGTCCACTGACATCACAGTGCCCAAATCTTTGCAAATGATTGTATATATGTAAAATAATCCCACCATGCATTTTACCTAAAGGAGTGATACACAAACTCAAAACACCTGGACCACATTCGGAGTGTATGAAAAATATTTACAGTTTATTTTTTGAGCAAAGTTCAAAAGTGAACTGAATATTGAAACAGTATGATTTCATAATAAGGACAATCACTAATTTTACAGTCACAGCATTCAACTGTACGTTTATGATACAAACCAGTGGCAGATATACAAACTCAGTTTTCACTCACACATGTACAGTATATAATAAATACATTAAAGCATGTTTGATGACGAGTCTTATATACAGTTTACGGCTGTCAAGGTTTACGTGATTTGTCAGTTACTTAATTATAAAAACATTTAAATTACACTCGATAAAGCAGCTTAGTAATTAGTTTGCAGTTTTAAATGATAAACAGGTCATACGCAGGTCACTGTAAAGCTATGTCTAGCAGATTCTCCAAGGGGGCGCTATCAGTGCTCAAGTCACTTTTGTGTGCATCATTGAAAGGGAGGAAACCCACACCAGTAGGATGAATGCACATATGTTTGTGAAAACACAAGAGTGCACATGTTTTGTAGTTACAAATATGAAATAGTTTAAACTGCAGTCACATGGTAAATATTACTATTTAAAAAACAATTAAGTATTCAGATATTTACAAGGATTATGTTATGATCTATTTAAACACAAGGCATTGAAATACATACATCATCTAAACTGCTTATCCTTCTGGGTCGCGTCATTGGGCGGAAGGCAGGATACACCCTGGACAGATCGCCAGTCCATCGCAGGGCAGACAGACAGGAAACCCACGCAGACACGGGGAGAACAGGCAAACTCCACACAGAAATGACCCTGGTCACCCAGCTGGGAATCGAACCCAGGACACTGTTGCTGTGAGGCAACAGCACTACCCACTGCGCCACCGTGCTGCCCTGGCATTGAAATAGTAATAAGCTAAATATATACAAAATCATTATTTATAGGGTACTTTCTAGTGGGATGTGTCTGTCTCAAACCCTAATTATTTTATTTTAGCTTGTGAAAATAATACTTAATTTAAGTTTTTTTATTGATCTTTTTGATGTCTTTTAGTGTTAAGTTGAAAGATTTATTTTTATTATGAGTTTAATTTTGGGCAGCACGGTGGCGCAGTGGGTAGCGCTGTTGCCTCACAGTAAGAATGGCCTGGGTTCGATTCCCGACTGGGTGACCAGGGTCATTTCTGTGTGGAGTTTGCCTGTTCTCCCCGTGTCTGCGTGGGTTTCCTCCGGGTACTCCGGTTTCCTCCCACAGTCCAAAAACATGCAGTTAAGCTAATTGGATATGCTAAATTGCCCCTAGGTGTGAATGTGTATGTCTGTCTGCCCTGCGATGGACTGGCGACCTGGCCAGGGTGTATCCTGCCTTCCGCCCAATGACAGCTGGGATAGGCTCCAGCACCCCACCACGACCCAGAAGGATAAGCGGTTTAGATGATGGATGGATGAGTTTAATTTTGATTTAAATAAAAATATTTAAAAAGTCGAAACACAAAGGCTATGTTTACATTACTGATTGCAACCAAAAGTAGTAAGCAGAATGTAGTATGTGGCCCAGATTTCTTCAGGATGCCAGTAACAGCTGGATGACGTTGCTCTGGCCAAAAATTCCGGTATGCAGCTTTTTCTGTGTTGCATCCCAAAATACAAGAGAATTTCTAATAATTCAATAGCCGCACATTCAGTTTATAAACACACGTAAATAAAATGACAGGAAATATTTTGATCTGCTGCTGCGCTCTGAGCTACACTGAAGCCCCATCAGTTTCTCTGCTGGTCCTGAACTGGGTTTGTTTACTTTATCTATTTCATAAAGTTCACTTACTGCATTGATAACATGGTTAAAACCGTAACTTACTAAAGTTGGTCTCAGCCAAATGATCCACTCAGCATTGGCTTTTAAGACTCTCTCGGTGAGTCACACTGTTTATTATTCAGTCAAACTAGCTCATATTACCAACTACGAATGGACTGAAAATGAAATGACCTTTTAACAAACACAGGAGAACACAGGCGTCTCTGAAAACCACTCAGGTTTAACTCACAGGTTCCAAAGCTGACATTTTTAAAGTTTATGGTTGGCTTTGGGGAGAAAACTCGGAGGGCATGTTTCATTACTGAAATACACACACGTGTTGCTAAAGATCTGACCTGAAAAGAGCCGAAAAGCGGGGGTTGGTAAGCAGTGATTGGAGGGCTGAAGAAAACGGGGTGGGTGTTGAGATGGATCTTATTGGCTCAGCCCAAGTTGTTGGCTGTCCAGTCACGCCCCCTGTCCTGTAATACGGCACATGGATTCTGTTGTATACTGGAGACTGTACTGTATACTGCTGATGAAGTGTAGCAGGCTGTATACAGTAGTGCAGTTTGCTGTGTACAATACAGTAATATACCATTTCTAATGCACCCAAAGAGTTTTAGCTTTGGGACACTTAAGCAAGAGAGGACATGTGGGCAAATGAAGCAGACCAAGTAGCCTAAACATTTACTGTGACATCTATGTCATTTCTTTTTGCTGCATTATGTGAAGTATTAATTTCTTTTGTTTGTTTTTATTTATTTATTTTCTGTACAATAAAAATATACAGTTTGTTTTGCATTTTATTTCCATTGTAATGAGTTATTGGACATAGAATAAGTAATTGCAATGCAAAACTAAATGATAGAGCGACTTGCTCTTAGCTATTTCATACATACACGTAAATAGTGGATCTACCTTAATGCTTATTCTTAGCGTTTAGTTGTTAGCGTTTCTGAGGTGATCTGTGATTGATGTATTTTTCTATCACAAATATTGATATTTTGATGGTATGAGTTTGTTTTGAGATGCCTTTGCAGTGTTTTTGTAGTTGTAAATCATTTTAGGCATAAAAGCTGTGTTTTAGCAAAGAGGGGTATGAAGAATTGTAAAATTGCATATTGTGAAATTGTAAATTGTAAAAAAAGTGGCTTTTAAACATTAATACTTTACATATGTTACTTATGATAGTACTTCAGTTTACACTTTCAGTTAAACTGTTTTTTATTGTTTAGACTTAAAACACACACACATTACTGTGTCATATTATTAACCGTAATTTGGTTCTGTACAGAAATGTCAGCACGTTTATTAAAACCAGACATTTCCAAAACACTAAATTGCAGCCAAACTGGATAAACTGGATAAATCTCTGATTATTTTCAACATGATCTCAAAAACAGTTGCAGCAGCTTTTGCTTTGGCCAAGACTGCACAGCTTAGTGCTCTACTAAATTCAGCTCATGGAGGATTTGAGTTTTGTAGATTTGTTTATTTTGGCATATCAGTTTCATATTTACTAAGTCTAAACCCTTTAGAGATTAACAGTGAGCGTTAATGTGGAGCTCATCAATACACACAACAATAAAATGGAGAGCTTAAACAATAACAGGCAAACAACACTTTCTGTAAAATGTGTATAAAATTTGATTAATGTACAAAAGGGTCATATTTACACATGAGAACATGGAGAAATATGGTGTAAAAGAAGGTCAAGAGGGGTACAAAGTCCAATCCGGTACCTTTGGGATGTGTTGGAGTGGCGCTCATGATCCAGAGCTAAGTATCCAATACCTGACCTCACTACTCTTGTGACTGAATGCAATCAAATCCTCACAGCAATGTTCCAACATCTAGTGTAAAGCCTTACCTGGAGATTAGAGGCTGTAACTGCAGCGAAGAGGGGATAAACTCCATGTTGAAACCCTCAGTTTCAGAGGAGATGATGAGAAGCTTTGTGACACATAATGTATCACTGCATGAAATATCAAGACAAATGAAAGCAACATACATATAGACAACATATCATATTTCTTATTACGAGATTGTTGTCAAAATTGTAAGCTTATTCAACCTTTTTCTATTTTTACCTCCATGCAAACTTATTTTAATGCACCAGCAGATGCATTTTTTTCTTTCAGCATTATTTCTTGAAACTAGGAAAGTTGTGTCAAGCAACACAATTAATTCTAAAATAAATGTATATGAATTAAAACAGTACAAATGTCTAGAAATAGGTTGGATAATCTTGTAACAGTCTCATAATGGGAAATGTTGGCTACATGGCTTATATTTAAGGTTCTGTCACTTGCCAGGAAATGTTTTGCGGTGTAATTGTAGTGTTTCAGTTCTTTTAAGCTCGTTTGCTGCACAGTGTCCACTTTACGAGACCTCAGTTAGAAAACGTGGGTCTTCGAGCTATTCGGACCACGTTGTAAGTGTTCAGACCTGGAGCGTCAAAACCAGGAGAAATCCCTCTTTTGTCAAACACATAGAAATTGAACAGCTGCCCATCCTGGGCTTCTAAGGAGACGGAGGCGGAGCCGACGTGTAAGACACAGGGGTATTCTTTCTCGAACACAACCCTGAAGACTCGATCCACCAGGTAGTTCAGCTTTATGGTCCGATATCTTTCAGGAATAAGGTCTTCGATTTGAGGGCCAAACTGCTGCATGATGAGGACTCCACCCGGTCCTGCTTTGATCTCATAGAAGGTGATGTTGCCGTATGTGTAGAACCCCACGTATGGTGTAGGATTTGGTGGAGGGACAAGAACCCGTTTGGCATCTCTGAAGGCTTTCTCCATGGCCGGAATAATGTACGAATAAGCCTTGGCCACTATGTCCTGGTTTTGAGGTCTGCTTCCAGCCATTAAGACGACCAAGCCGAGTTTGAGGCGGGGAACCAAGGAGAAGGTGGCAGAATAGCCGTCCAGGTCGCCGTCTTTGCGGACCATCTCGTAGCCAAGCTGCTCGTTGACCTCCCACGGTGTTCCTGTGCGGTTCGCAAAATAGTCCTTATCGCAGCGGAACAGAGGAGTTAGCATTATCTTCAGCGTGTCTGGTTCCAGTAGCTTCCGGTGATAAGCTCCTAGAAGTGTCATGGCCAGCTTGGCCAGGTCAGCTGCTGTGGAGAACATCTGACCCGAGGGGCGATACCAGCCAAGGTCGTAAAGCGGTGCGGGCTGCCCGCTGACGTAAACGCCGACGGCCATCTGACCCTGAACGCTGGGGGTGATGTCGAAGCCAGTGTCCTCCATCCCCAGCCGGTCCAGGATGTTGTCGGAAATCCAGCGCTGGTAGTTCACTCGCGCCACTCTCTCCGCCAGGACATGAGCCAACAAGGAGAAAGCCAAGTTGCTGTAGTGACATCTTTGGAAACAAAAGAGGTTTGAGAGGAAACATCAGCTTTGTGTTTTTGGAAGCCATAGATAAATTATATTAACCCTCCTTTGTTGCTCAAGACACACCAGCCTTTAATCTACCACATTTGTGTTGGTGAAAGAGGAAAAATGTTCTTTGAATCTGTGATTTGAATTTGTAATTCATGTTTTGCTGAAAGAAAAACAATGTTGCCATAAATTGAACTGAATGTGTGTGTATGTAATTATAATCAGGTAGCATTGCAAAATGACAATAATAACTAATAATAACTAATAATAAGATTTACTAATGTTTTCCGCCTTCATTAACCTTACTCGCATCTATAATGAGGTCAAAGGGTTTATTACTGCTCTTATGTGTTTATGCAGTCACAGGTTTTTCCTCTCAAACCACAAAATCCTGTGAGGTAATCATTACAATCAACTACCTATTCTGCTTTACTGAGACTGATAGCAAATCACTCCTGTCCAAAACAAAGCTAAGGATCTCCAACATGGTAACTGTTCAAGAGAGGGGAAAAAAAACCTTTATTTTTAAAGCACGTTAATGTAATTAGATTTTTTTCCAGTAATTTTGGACCATTTCTATTGGTCCATTCACCCTAAAAGTTTAACAGAATGTAAAGGACAGTTACTGTCCACAAATGATGCAGAACACCAAAAATGAGTGTTTTTTGACACTGACAAAATACTTTAAACTCCTTTGGCTCTGCAGTCCCTGATCTGTAAAAGCTACTGTTTGTGCACTTTGGCTTCTGTAGCAGAAACATCACAGCCTTTGATGCAGGTAGATAAGATAACCCTCACCGTAAGTTTAAAACCCTATATTTCCTCTAAAATGACCCGAATGCGTTCAGTGCAATTAACAAATATCATTCGTTTTCCAAATGTGCTCGCTACAGAACTCAATATGTTCCCAATGAGAATAAAATAATTATTAAATGATATATATTAATTACTTAAAAACATAATTACTTTTCTCAAATTTCTGAACTATTATGTCAAAATTGTCATTTTCTTTTTTTTAAATAATGAGTTATTTAAGCAATAGTACCTGAGAGGGAGTGTATTATCGCAAAATAACATGTTATTGGTGATCACACTCCTCGAGTATTGCTTTTATACAGCAGTTAAATAAATAAAGTAATAAATTAATAAACTGGGCCGTGAACGCGGCGTTTAATACGTTTTAATGTTCGCAGTTCCTTCACCAAATTATAGTTCCTTAACGAGCAGCTTGTTGCTACATCAGAGTAACGAGCTCCGCCCACTCGCTGCACAGCCGGCAGTTCGTTCTCCAGCTCCACACAGACCAACTGACAGTTTGGGAGTTTAGTGTCGTCTCATCTTCAGAGTCTGACCAAATCGGCTGTCGGTCAAATGTGATCTTAAAAGTATCCGTTTTCTGTTTGTGGCAAAGTAAGAAGTAAAAACAGTCCAACCAATCAGCTTACGTGGCCGGAACTAACTGTTGTATAATGTCAAATAATCACATTTTTTTGAAAAGCAATACCTTTTTTTGAAAAATCTGGAGAAAATAATTCATCATTTCAACCTGATTAAACCAGAACCAGAGTAGTTTTTCTTCTATATGGTGAAAATATGCATTTCTGGAAAAAGCCCATGAACCACACAGGGGTTTACATTGTGCTGCTCATATAATTATAAAGTTAATTGCGAAGTAGCACCTGAGTTCATTTGCCTGGAAGCTCTTGGCCACCCCCACCAGCTCAAAGTGTCTGTAGACTGTCGCTAATTTGCGCCTCTTTTATTAAATGTGCCCTCGACGTCTAAAGGTTAATAGATATTTACGCGCAGGTGGTCTGCGTTCAGCTCCTTTTCGGTAGGGGTCCCATAGGAATCCCATTTCTTTTTCTCACTTAACATAAGCCATTCATCTCACACAGTCAGCTGGCCAGTTCCATCTGGCATAGTGGAACTTAAACTTCTCAGTGCTATAGACCTTAGATTGGAATTTTATGCTAATTATTTATACTGGTATTACAGTGATTGTAAAATAAATATATAAATTGAATCATCTACATGCAGTTTATTCACTGTACTTTAAGACATACTTGGTTCCTGGATCTGCAACCAGCACGTCATCCTGTAGAAGATTGATCGCAGCTTGAGTCTTGCCTTTCCACAGCAGGTTAGTGGCCCGAAGTCGTCTAGGCAAACCTGCAGGGGTCACAGTGTTGCCAGAAATAGAAAATATGAATTCTCATAATTTAACTGGAGTAGGAATTGTGGATTATAGAGCTGGTACAGTGTGTCAAAGGTAAAATACAGTGATTTCTTTGTATGAGATGTTGCTTATTATGGCTTGGAGAAAAGGAACGTTCGGATTATAATGACTTTTGATTATAATGATGGAAGCTGCAATCTGCAGAAGGTCAGTGGGCTGTCACAGTGGGCTTTAACGAACTCTGAATGCCCTCCATCAGCTACTGAAAATGGACAGTAATGGATTAAGACAATGATGATTTACTGCCACTTGGATAATCCTAAACCCATTATTGAATAATTTGTTTTGGGATATTTTAATGAGACTGCTCATGCAAAATTCTGACAGATTAAAACACACAAACAATGATCAAGTCTGACAAATTGCCAAGTGTTTTGCCTCCAGAGTCAGGTTGTCTAATGGCAATGCCATTTTATCAGGTACACCTACCACAAAGATGCACTTTTGAGGTTTACATTTACTGACAGTATCCCATCTGTCACTGCGCAGCTTATCAGCCCTGTTTTTCATCTATCAATGGAAATTGACCCCCATAGGACCACCATTGTCCAGATGTTTGGGTGGTGGGCCATTCTCAGCACAGCAGTGTATCAGGCTCAGATGTGTTTTATACATGTCAGTTATGTGTCAGTGCCACTAATAAGTTTGTCCAGCACCCAAAAGTATTCATCCAAGAAACCGACCACTTATCAAGAGGTAGATGATGGCTAGCACAAATTGTACATCAGCAGATGGGCTACAGTCTAAAGTTTTAGCTACAAGGCAGAGGTTTCCAATAAAATGGCCTTAGAGCACATTGTTGCTGTCGCGCAAGAACCTTGTATCGTATATCTTTTGCATAATTGGAAAACAGCAGTTACTCTGGTGGTTTCAGGGTGATGGTTTCATGATAAATGAACCAGTAGAAATGGTCCAAAAATGACTTTGAAGTAATTGTTGTATTAAATGTTTTTCCTTATATTCCATCTTTAAGGTTTCTGTTCTGATGTAAATGATATGCAGTCAATAAATTACAAAATTAAAACATATCTCGCTAATTTTTCTATATATTACTTTTTTGTTAAGAATTCTGTGATGCATACTCATCTATAAACTTTGATCTACCAACCTATTACAGCCATTCTCTCCTACACATAAACACCCTGCTATTTCTGCTGAATTATCAGATGCAGAGACACTTTGAGCTTCTGCTCTGACATAAATTGTGTTTTCACAGCTTTCTCGGGGGGTGAATGTGAACGGATGTGTCACAAACGTAAATATCAGATAGAGACCTAGAAAGTGGCTAAGATATGAATTATAGGACTTACCGGAGAGCTGGCTGGCCATTCTCCTCAGAGTGACGGAGGATGAGCGGATCTGGACCTCACCACTGTCCAGAAAGATCAGGCCATCGGTGACATACTTCAGCTCTGAGTCTTTGCTCTTGCCCAGCGGGTTTTTGATGGTGAAATTCTCCACGTATTTTTCCAACGGATCATCCAATGAGGCCACTTTACCATCCTCCCACAGACGATAGAGCATCAGAGTGGGGAAAATCTTGGACAGGCTAGCAATCCTACACAGATCATAAGGCAAAGAGTCAGAATTTCTCTGTAGAGATGTGCAGTCTGAACTCTTCATTGCCCATATTCTACACTCTGCTGTTTTTCTCCTGATATAAGCTGCTAAACTGCTGCAGGTTGAATGGGCTGTCACATGTAAATGTGCATCATAACCATAATGTATTTTTAACAGGCTGTTTTGTACAGTTTTCATAGACGGACTGTATGCTGGGCAGTTATCATAACACCAACTTCTACTTTGTTCCACCAGAGTCCAGTGTGACATTATAACTGAACATGCCAGTGGTGGAGATTGACATATCTGGAACCTCTCTTTGACGTGTTCCACTCCCTCAGAGGTAGAATCATTAAAACCCTTTTAAACCTTTAGTCCTTCTGCTCCACATAATTTTCCTGACATGTTCTAACAATGGTGAGCCCCACGATGCTACAGCATGAGAATGTGACCAGGTGGTTTGCTTATCTCACCTGTTTAGCAGTTTGATCAGTCTCAGACACACAGTGCACTTTGTTTGGGAGGCCATTTAGCTTTGAGCAACATCAGAGCTATCAGGGTTGACAGGCTCAACAAAGTGAGTTAAACGGCAGGCTGATAAAAAATAGCTGACATGCTGAAAGTGCTGACAAAGGGTGCGAATGAGTGACAGGCAGTGACTTGAAGGTACAGCCTCACTCCTTTGACTTTTAAAACAACCCTTGCGTAGTATGAACTTCAGGCTGGTGTGTCCGTGGTCTTCACTCTAGAGAAGAAAAAGCCAATGCAACCTAAAAAACCTCGCCAAGAAGCTATGAAGAGCTTCATGGAACACCTGTAGGGTTACTACAGAATAGGTGAAGCTATGAATAGCATTAGCAAACCTCTGCAAGGTTGCTACAATGTATGACCTTACTATAAAATCAGCATGGCTAGTCACCAGCATATGCTGTGTTATGGATGCTGGTCAGCAGTGATAGTTGTTTTCATGCTGATCACCAGCAAAACCAGCATTTGTAGTGTTTCAGAAGCTGGTATTCTGGTCAACCAGCATGACCATATTAGGTGACCAGATCAACCAGAATAAACTGGCATAGACTAGCTTAGATCAGCATGGAATGCTGTTTCTTCAACAGGGAAAGTGAATCGTTGAAGCTATGAGGAGCATCAGCCACCCTCTGCAAGGCTGTTACAGTATGAAGGCGACTTGTTGAAGCTGTAAAGAACATTAAACCTCCTTAAGGTTGCCACAGCATACAAAGTGAACTGTTGAAGCCATAGATCTACATTCCTGGATGCTGTGTTGTCTGTTGTTCTCTATCTGAGGCGATGTGTCTGCGTGTCCGCCATGTTGGAGAGGTCAAGATCCACTTGTGAACAGATTCACTTGTATTGAGAGACGAAGAGTCTCAGGATTAAATCAGCCTCAACTTCCTTATTACTCAACCGATTTTCACCACATTTGTTTAGTTATAATCCCCAGACACAGATTAATCCAGGCTGCACGGATCTGCTCTCGGTAGCTGTCCGGACCAGCAGGAAAGTATTCAGTCTGGACCTGACACTAAAAACAGAGTTTAGCGCGAGAAACACAATCAGACACATCAGCAAATCCATCAATGTGTGAATCACTTCTAATCTTAATACATATAAAGATAAAATAAACCCCCAAAACACAGTAAGAAGGACGGAGCTGAAGTCAGCTTCCTATTCGCCAGCTTCTTGTTCGAGTTTTCCCGTTCCACCTTAAATGGTGTGGCAGTCACTTTCTTGTGCCTGAAGCTGCACCATTTAAGGTGGAACAGGAAAATTTAAACAAGATGCTGGTGAATCAGAAGCCAACTTCAGCTTCGTGTAAGAAGCTGCTAACATTAATCTATTATGAATATCTACACAGATTAAGGAATGAAATAACTTACCCAGCTACAAAGCTTCAACCATCACTGTAAATAAATAACTACTGATAACTACTGATACTGTTAAGATCCTGAACAGACTATTAAATGAAATAATCTTAATATAAAACCAGAGGAAAAACAATCACATCAACAGGTTCTCTGTGCCTCACCAACCACACAACCACATCTACACAAACATCACACAGACATGAGTGTGGATCGCTGCGTTCCCTCCGTTATATAATCCTATCCCACTTTCTGAGTGTATTATTCTCAAAATAGTGTAATTTATTAAACTCCTGCTCTGTAATGGTACTGAATGCAGTCCAGCAGCGATGTTGACCGCCCCAAAATGGTGGCGCCGTTGACATGCCTGGCTGGACCCAACACGGCATCTAGGTATGTATATCTATGCGTCGAAGCTAGCAAACCTCTGCAGGGTTGCTGCAATGTACAGAGTGAACTGTTGAAGCTGAGTGTGAGCAAACCTCCATACGGCTACTAAGAAGGGAGCGAATGTTGACACTAGGAAGCATCAGTAACGTTACAAAGATGCCCGCAAAGGTCAGGCAGCATCAGCAAAGCTAAATATGGATTAACCTCCAGAAAAGAAGGAGAATAAAGTTTTTATTCTGATGTCACAGATCCAACAGCAGTTTCATCTGTATTCAACACTGGATCATTACACAGTCTACCCTGCTGACCTTTGCTAATCACCTCAAAGGACAAGCGCAGTGCTCATGTTACTGGAAGCTGCTATGAGGCTGGAAGAATATTGAACAGTTATTGAGGTGCAGAAACTAACGCTGCACGTTAATGATTCATTACGTACTTGCGCCACACGGCTGACGTCAGAAAAAGGAAACTGTGCTGAGTAGCATGTTCAGCATTAAAAGTTATAATGGTGGTTGTGCTCTTGTCAAAAATCCCTGCTGAAAAATTAACAGCACAGATAAGCTTGATTTCAGTGCTGGTCTAAGCCTAGTTATGCTGGTCTACACTGGTTTGGTGCTGGTTTAGCAGGTCAGCCTGCGTGGTCATGCATCAGAACTCAACATATCTCTGCTGTTGAAGGAAAACCTCCCAACTCCATTTTTGTTGTTTTTCAGTTTTTGGCATGGTTTGAAAATGCCTGTTTGTCTTTACATTGTATGTAAATTTCATGATGAGTGGACTAAAAGAAACGACCCAGAATGACTTGGAAAAAACTCTGGTTCCATTGACTTACATTAAAAGTAAAGTATGTTTTTTCCTTCTCCTGTAAAGTTGCCATTTTGGAAATACGAGATTTTCTTCCGACAGCAGCGAAACGCTGGTTTTGTTGGTGAACAGCTCTGGTGGTCTATGCTGGTTTTCCTAGCAGTGATGGCTGTGATATTATCCCTGCTAGAACCTCCCTGGCTGGTCACCAGCATAATCAGCCTATTTTATGTTTTGGTTGCTGTATGCTGGTCAGCAGCAATGGAAGTTGTTAGCCTGGTCACAAGCAAAAACAGCATAGGTTGTGTTTGGATGCTGGTATGACCATGCTGGATGACCAGTCTAGACCAGCTTAGACCAGCATGGAATGCATGGTGGCCTGTGCTGTTTTTTTTCAGCTGGGATGCGACAGTTGAGGTGTATTGTTTTGCACATTAGGCTGTAAAGAGGAAGTTGTTGTTGTTGTTGAAATAACAAAAACATTTTTCAGTCTACATTGAAGAGCCCTTTTGAGGATTATTCATGAATTATTACAGCAATTACAATTAAAAGCTCTTTCAAATTACAAAGCAATAGGCAAACATTTGCATGAGTCCAACAAACTCACATAATCGTGAGAGGAAAGGTTTTTTTTAGAAATGTGTACCTTTGAACAAACAAAATGCAAAATTAACCTCATTCACTTATGTTCGCTTCATGTACTCATTTCACACCCAACAATGCACCGGATAATAGAAGTAATTACCCACAGTAATTAGCATTCATAGCCTGGAATTCAAATAAGTGTATCATCTTCTTTCATTAAGATTCAGCCTCATTTGGGGCTCCAAAAAAACTTTTTATTCAATTTTTTTATTAATCCAAGCAGAAAACACATTATTAGATTCTAAACCTCAGAACTTACTCACTTGATTCAACACACACATGCTAATCATATCAGACGTTCTTTCGGTTTCTTTATTCACTGATTTTCTCCAAAGATCAGTTGGTCTGCTGTGTTTTGTAGCTGCCCTTATTCCAGATTCCAGTCTGTGCTGGACAATAAAATGTAAATGGAGCAATTTTAGCCTCTGAGAAGATGAACCGTCTGGAGCTTGTAATTGGCTCACAAATGTTATCTTCTGTGCACAACTCCATTGAAAAAGAGACACAAATGATCAGTCTGGTGTGGAGCGAGGCCCACCTGTCAGTTAGTCTCAGAAAACTAGAGAGGTTCTTAATGGGATGTTGAGAAAATGTTCTCGGTTTGCCGTGACTGAGGCCCCATGTGGATGAGCAGTCTGCCAAACAGTGGCATACATGCTAATTCAGGCTTAGCAATAAGAGCCCTTAGCGTTCGGCCCAGCGCGCCTCCACTGAGTTCTCTATGCTGTATGAATTCCGACCGAGACATTATTTACACAACAATAGTACTTATAGTAATTATGCTAATAGTTATGCTAACAGTTTTGTACCTCACCTGTAGATGGTGTACTCGTTTGGAGGCGCTGAATTGGGGTCGCTCCCGTTCCTCTTGCCGAAGTTTCCCGTCCACAGCACAGTGTCGTTGTAAATAACAATGGCTGACATCGCTGGGAGGCCGGTGGGGTTGGCGCTCTGTCGGAGCAAAGCGTCCACCTGAAAAAAGGGACAAAAACATGGCAGAACTGTTAAGAGTTGGATGGAAATCGGTGAAAAAAGACGGAATGAATAAATCAGTGGATAAAGCTTCACATGATTCACATGCATGTGGATAAGCTTTGGGGTTCAGAAACTCCTCTTCAATGACTTTTTTATCCAATAGGGACAAAGTCAAGTTCAAGTTTCAAGTTTATTTGTCATTTGCACAACATGCCAGGACATTTATGCATTGAAATGCTTGTGGTGAGGCTCAGCTAATCACTCTACAGAAAGTAAATAAGTAAAAATAAAATTACAAGAAAAACTAACTGAAATATATTAAATATACACAAAATATAGAGAAAATACAGATAAAAATATACACAAATATAGAGAAATGTACACAAATATACAGACAATATACATTTTAAAGTGACTAAGTGACTGTTATTGTTCTTAAAGTGGCTTAGTGTTAAAGTGTTATTGTCCATAGCAGAGATGAAATGATATAATAATAATAATAATAATAATAATAATAATACTGACAAAAAGACTGAGTGAGATGGTATTTAGTGAAGGACCCACAGCTTCACAGCTTGTTCAGAAGCCTGAGAGCCTGTGGGTAGAAACTGTTCATTAGCCGGGTTGTTCTGGCCTGTATGCTACGAAATCTCCTGCCTGATGGCAGGATGGTGAACAGGCTGTGTGCTGGATGGCTGCTGTCTGACCGGATCTTTTTGGTCTTCCTGAGACAGCGGGACTGGTAGACATCCTCTAAGGCTGGTAGTCTGTTGCCTATGATGGCTTCTGCTGTCCTCACCACTCCTTTAAGGGCCTTGCGGTCACAGGCAGTGCAGCTGCTGTACCAGACAGTGATGCAGCCTGTGAGGATGCTCTCTATGGTGCATCTGTAGAAGTTGGTGAGGATCTGAGGAGGCAGACCAAACTTCCTGAGTCTGCGCAGAAAGAAGAGACGCTGACGGGCAGATCTTACGATAGTGTTGGTTTGGAGGGACCAGGTGAGGTCCTGGCTTAAAAAGTAATAAATAAATAATTAAATGAATAAATTAAATTTCTGGTGCAACTCTATTTTAAAGCTATGTGGAGGGTTAGCAAACCTCTGCAAGGTTGCTATAATGCACAACGTGTATTGTTGAACATGTAAAGAATGATTTGTATGTGTGAGTCAGTAAGTTCTGGGGTTCAGCGCTGTCTTAAAATGTGTTAGAAAAATATATAATTGATTTTTTGTTGCAGTAACTTATGAATGTCACCTTTGTAGGCATCTATAAACACATTCATAACATGTCTATAATGAATGCATTATAACATTATAAACATAGCTATAAATATTTATAAAAATGCATTATATGTTATAGCCATGTTTATTATGCATTATGAATTGTTAACATAATACATTATAAGTACTGATCATAACAAATTATAAGAGCTCATAAGTCGTATTTGTCCGCTCTAAGTAAAGTGAAGCGTACTGTACTAAAGCCTCCTCCAGTGTTCAGAGTGAGGCTTCAAGTTGAAGTATTTACTGAAGGATTTACTGAAACACTAAAACATTCACAGTAAAGCTCATTACAGGCTTCAAATGTCAGAGTTTAAACTAGAGCTGCCATCAGTGTTTTACTCAATGTGGGAAAGGTAATGTTCACCACCGTTAGCTTGGTATTTGTCTTTACTTTGCACTCTCCAAGCTGGGACTGACTTCTTTGGCACTGACATTATAACATGTTATTAACACTATTTATAATGCATTATATTAACAATTCATAATGTATAATAAACATGGCTATAAAGTGTAATTCAGTGTAATTCTTTTTTATAAATATTTATAACCATGTTTATAATGCCTTATGAATACATTATAACATGTTATAAATGTGCTTATAGATGCTTACAAATGCGACATTCATAGAAAGTGTTACCAAAAAAAACAAAAAGGAGATAAAATTTACACTCGCAGTTCCACATTTTCAGGATTTATTTCCCATATTTTAACAAAGGAAAGCTGACAAAAATTGACAATGTTTTGCTTATAGGCTTGGTCAAGTCATCTGTAAATCTAATAATCTGTAAAGAACCGGTTCTTAAACAGCACGTTCTGTAACTATGTAACAGAACAGAACAAAAGCTCTGAACATGATGCTCTGAAGAAGCCAGAGTTCCCAATGAAATCCCATTTCCAAACAGGTGGTAAAGGCTCTGGGTCTGTATGACTGATGCAGGGGTCACCTTTCTCATCTTCCCTGCTGTTTCTCTGAGAGAACATACTGTGCTGACTGTACACGATGCTCATCAAAAGTTTCAGGACACCTAACTTTTCCAAGTCCTTTTAATAAACCAGCATGTTTGCTATACTAGTTTGCAACTACTTACCATGTTAAAACTGTTCAGATCTGTTTAGTTGTTGCCACTTTTCATGAAAGAACAAATGTTCAAAGCCCTCCCAGGGAAATAACGCCAAAGACCACATGTAGGGTCTTGCAAAAGTATTCACACCACCTTAGAAGTCATCAGATTCATCTGGGTTACAAATGACGCATTGATATTTTGTACTGTCATATTTTATTTTAAATGACTGAATCTCAAAGTTAATGAACGTTAATTAATGATGTAGGTTTTATAAAATTAAGAAAATGCTGTTTGCGTAAGTTTTCAACCCCAGCTCCAACTTCACACAGATGAAAGAGATTGCCCTAGTGAAGACACAGTTCGCTTACACTTGGCCTCTACCTGTGAATTATTAGAACACTATCTTTTCTGCTAAAAAAAAAACAAAAAATAAAGCTTGGGAGAAACTTCACCTTTAAGCAGGACACTGATCCCGAGGTCAAGGCCAAAGCACAGAAGGAATGGTTGAACAAAAAGGTGAATGTTCTACAATGGTCAAGCCAAAGTCCAGATCTTCATTCGATCTGTGGCACTATCTGAAAGTTGCAGTCCACAAGCAAAAACTGCAGTTCAATCATCCAGAGCAACCTGGAGCAAATCTGCCAGGAACAATGGGTGAAAATGGGCAAAGTAGTAGCCTGAAGGGGTTGAATACTTATGCATCATTTTTTTAGGTTTTAATGTTTTTTAAACATCTAAAAAGAATGAATTTTGACTTTTAAAAATCCTGTCTGGAGCAATCTGTGCTAGTGCTAATGACTTTTATAGGGGGTTAAATGTTTTTTCAAGGCATTGAATCTCAACCCCCTTGTTGTGATGCTGGCACTCAAAGATTTCACCCATTTCACTTTGGTCCAAAAAAATATATGTGCCTTTTACAATAGTTTGGAAAAGAAAACTGTCAAATCTTTATTTGGGGTGTCATTAGGTGGAACCGTAACAGTGGAGTAATGACCTCAATATGCAGGATGCAGATTCTCAAGCCTGGATACAACAGACTGTTGAGAGGGATTAAGTCATGCTTTGCCCTCAGATGCCAAGATCATTTTTGCAAGAGGGTGAGTGAGTATTATTAAACTTTATTATAAGGATATTTCTGACTAAGAACAGTGGCTGGAAGAGAATCCTTCCTGAGATACATGGAGGAAAGGTAGTGAGAAAGATCCTCATATGATCCCGAGTTTAATCCTTGAATCTGCACAGTCTCACCAGCCAAGGATGAGCACATAAATTTGGTAGGAAAAGATGAGCATTCAGACATCGGTACCTCTTGAACAGACCAGGTCTAGATATGTAGGTCTAGTATGCTAATAGTCAAAAGCGACAAGGTACAAGACGCTAAAGCTGAGTGTTGAAGCTAAATAAACTCAAATATAACAAATTAAGCTACTTTAAGGTGCACCTACTGCTGACATAGATGTTCACTTGCACCCAGTAAAATCTGCATTGAAGAACTTTGTCAATAGAATGGGACACTCTGGATCAGCTGCACATGAACCTAAGGTCACCATGCCCGATGCCAAGCGTCAGCCGGGTTATTCCACCCAGGATGAATCCCATTCAGCACTAAGCTATGGAGCAGTGGTACTGCATTCTCTGGGGTCCCGAGGACCTACATTTCAGTTAGTGGGTTTGATGTTTTTTTTTCCTGGTTAAGTGGATCCATAGAAAACAAGAACACAGTGTCATGAAGCACCAAAAGTCATTTAAGTGCTAATGGCGCCCCCTTTTGGAGAATCTAAAGCCTGCTAAATGTGAATGAGTGAGTGAGTGAGTGTGTTATAAGTCAGGTCCATGAGGTGGTTCACATGTAATTTTTTAAAAAGATACTCCAAAAGTGTTTTGTGTACATTTTGGATTATATTGACAACACATAACAATACTGAGTCAAAGGGTCAAAACTGAGCTGGTATGTAGAGTACCCACTTTCAGAGTGCCGTATAAGATTAAGACATGTTGTTGAATCTTCCAAAAAATGGACCGTTTTGAATTTTTATGAGGGGATATGGATTCCCTTATTAATTATGTTGGGGCTCTTATGCTGGGTAAATTGAAATAATAATAATGTTTATTTTCTTGTGAACTGATTTGGTGAAATCAATAGTTTGAACGTCTGTGTTTTGTTGTGATCATGTGATGCATTATTAGTGTTTTGACTTGCTGTTTCATGAAATGCCTGCAGCTGTTGCAGCTGAGTTTTGAGTGAGTTGCAGGAGGCTTTACCATGCAGCTCATGTGCGATTTAGTTTCATGTAGGCTTCAAGCAATTAAAGTTGCTTGAAAGTTTCACCATGTAAAGCCAGTCTTAGATGTAGCTGTGTGTTAAAACTAACCCCTCCATGTGGCGGCTGTGCTTTAACCTGGCTAAGGTAGATGATGATGTTATAGGAATACAAGATGACTAAAAGCACCTTCTGCTTGAATCTGAATTATTTCATAAAGTATCCATGTAACATTTTACCCCACATTACTTTGTGCCCCCCAAATACACTTAAAATATTACAGAGGACAACTGACAGTAAGCGGTGGAGAGAGTCTTACTCTGGGGGTCAGCACTGAAAATATAGAGAGTGTTTACTCCACAGGAGAGAAAGCAAAGACAGTGGTGTCTAACTTTATTAGCTGGAGCTCCATGACGAGTCAGAGTTTGTGATCCAGAACTAATCCTCTAACATCAATAGCTGACCTCACTAATGCTCGTGTGGCTGAATGCAATCAAATCATTACAGCAATGTTCCAAGAAGCCTTCCCAGAAGAATAGAGGCCGTTACTGCGGACTGTTACTCCCCTATTAACACCCTTGATTTCAGAAGAAACGGTGGACAAGCAGTCGTCTGCGAACTCCGTAAATCTTATATCATAAATCTTACTATAGTAATAAATTCAACAGATGAGACTCTTCTCTCCCCACAGTAACACCTTGATATTTAACACTTCTGTGTGTCTGACATGCATTGGAAAGAGCGCCTTTAGCTCAAGGCATATGAATATTAGTCAGAATGTCAAGCACCTGGAATATAAAGCACCTGCTCGTCAAATGTTGTATTTGATAGGCATACAAATTACACTGAGGCCAGGAGAACGTTCAGGGTTTCCAAGCAGCTCGTGCGAGGATCAGGTACATTTTGAATATCAATGGACATTTAAAATGCGAGGAACGCTAAGCTCTTGCTTCAGAGCATTGAAAAGTACGGAAAATAGATGTTAAAGAGGGAACGGCATGAAAAAGAGGTGTCAAAGAGCAGAGTTTGAAGCACTGTTTGAGGGAAGCGTCTGCAGCGCAGCCTTACTGGCATTTGAATTGTTAGAGTTCAGCGGTGTAGGACGTCCTGAGGTGTGCTTGAGAGTGAGTTAAGTGTTTTTGGTTGTTTTGAATGCAGGGAATGCCTTACTTTCTCCAGCGCCTCCTTCAGGTAAGGGATGGGATGCTCCAGTGGAGTGGGCTCAGGAAAACGAGGACACATCTTCTCGGATCTGGAGTTTTTCCCCAAAACTTCGTCTAAAAAGAAGAGAAAATAAAGAAAAGAAATCAAACAAACATAAAACAGGTGCACGTGTTTGTCATTGTGTTTCTGCGAGAATAATACATTAATTTGTCTTTGGGGTGGAGGAGCACTAAACGAGCAGAAGAGTGCATCCCAGTGAGGTCAGAACACAACGTACCCAATTATCCCAGCAAAACATCTCGGGCCAGACGGATGAAGCCTTATGTGCCAGTTTCAGGTACAAATAAAACACGTCCTGACTGTGTGTTCTGTACGAAACTGGTACCAGCCTCAGCTTAGGCTTATGTGCCATGTTTGAAGAAAAATGCAAATATATTTCTTTTCTTCATACATATATGCAGGGTGTCCCAAAAAACATCATTCCGTAGTCTAACAGCAGCCAATTTTCCCTCAAATGATCTCAAATTTTACCAAAATGTGTAAAAACTAACCAAGTTTAATTTTTAATGTTTTCTTCAGGGTGAAGAACGGCGTTCACTAGAAATTAAGAGGCATTTTGTGTGTTAGAATATGCTCGAACACGGTCAAACAAGAGTGCAGCACACATTTTCCAGAAAATTCTGGAAACTCCAGAAAAACTGGAAAGCAGATTTAGGCATGGCGCAAAAAATTCAAAGAGGAAGGCTGTCTGTGCAGGACAAAGGGATCTGGATGACCACCAGTATCAGAAGATATTACATTTGTAAAGCTGTGAAATCGGTTATTAAATCTACATCCCTCTGAATTTTGATAAATAAATCTTGTATTGTATATATTATAAAAATATAGCCATTTTATTTACCATCCAAAACCACCAGTAAACCAACACATGTCTTGTGAGTTTGTCTGTGCAGCGTTCATGAAGGTAACATAATAGTAAATCAGGTTAAAAATCAACAAAATGTGACTAAGGGCACCCAAACCTTTGCTACAACTGTATGTTGTGGAGACATCTGACCATTTTGCTCTGCAATGTCCCCAAAGTCTCTTCCTCTTACCTCATTTTCTAGCTCTCCTCAATCCATTCACTATTACTGTTCATGCCAAAAGAGTGACACAGTCAGGGTTTGTCCCAAGTTCTAGTTGCAGTGCTAATGTAACACGGGGCATTTTACAGTCTCGTTTAATATCTCACTAAATTACCATGTTACTACGCTATTGGCAGATTTCATGGACACGGTTTAAGCCTAGACAGCATTCTGAATGGAGATTTTCAATATAAAGGAAAATGTAGTCCAAGACTAGACCTAATCCCGGTCTGGGAAGCCAACCCTATATATTGTAGACACTTGCTCATTCAGCGTTCTTCTGAAATGAAGGGTATTAATCGGGAGGTTGTTCCTCCATTACTGCAGTAACAGCTTCTACTTCTCTTGGGAGATTTTACAATAGTCAAGTCAAGTCAAGTCAAAGTTTAGTCACCAAAGGCAACAGTGGCAGGAAAAACTCCCTAAGAGCAAGAGGAAGAAACACTGAGAGGAACCAAGACTCAAAAGGGGAACCCATCCTCCTCTGGACCACACCGGATAGCAAACAGCATAGCTGTTGGATCTAAATGCAATCAGCTACGGGAGCATTAGTGAGGTCAGCTACTGATGCTGGATCATTACTTCTAGATCACAAACGCCACTCCAACTCATCCCGAAGATACTGGATTCCACTGGGGGGCTTTAAAGCCTGAATTTAGACTGAATTTAGGCTTCTGTGTAGCTGCTCCAGAACATGAAAACATTCTTAACTTTTAATGTACGTTAATGTGAAGAGATTTTATTCCAAGCAGTTTTGGAGCATTTCTATTTTTCCAGTCATCATGAATTGTTCACACAAAGCATTTTTTGACCCGACAAATTCAACGTTTTTGGCTGCACTAAACTGTTTTACCCCAGTTGATTCAAAGTTTATGCCCTGCTTTCTCACATGGACTCACATGGTCTTATAGCTCAGTGGGTGAAAAATGATTTAAGGTCGTGAATGTTGTGAAAAATAAAGAACGGATGAACAAAAGCAAACTCTAAATCCAAATCACAATCTGTTGGTAAGTGGGCTGTGAGAACCCAAGCCTGAAATTCGTACCTTTGTACAAATGTTGAAACCTAACATGAGCAATTGGGTCTCGTCATGCTCTCCCAAATATTTCAAGCTCTAGTCCTGACCATTCATGACGAGGGAAGATAGGGCTAACAGTTACAGTTCAATAGATGGACTGCAATCTGTGTTTGTAGAAATACACAGTGCACCTATGTGGTAAGTGGACCTGTTCAAATGGGCATGTACAGGAAGTGATGTCATTAAGCCACATATATCGCCTTTCTAAAGTAGGCCGGCAGCCTCAGGTTACTCTTCACTGTGCACATATATAACTCCTCCAATCCTTACCTCTGAATAAAGGTACTCAAGTGCCTTTAAATGTTCTAATCCAGTCGTCACCCACTAAGAGAACTTAATAGGATCTGCCAGTGACTCAAACAGCCACTGCTACACCTTTTCATTTAAACAGAAAGAGCAACAGCAATGAACTTCAGTGCAGATTCTCAACATTTTCTTATTTATTTGGGGATAATTGTACGTCAAAACACTGGTGTGCAATTTTTAATTAGTGAATTCAGCCACTTTAAGGTAAATCCATTGACACAGGAGTTTAACTGCACACACACAGCTTGTATAATCTCTTTAGAAGAGCATTGCCAATAGAACGGGACACTCTGGAGCAGACACACATTAGACTAAGGTCACCATGCCAAATGCTTAGTGTCGGCAAGACCTCTGAAGGTGCTTTATCGAGTCTGACACCGAGACATTAGCACCAGATCCTCAAAGTCCTGTAAGTTGCAAGGTGGCGTAAAGTTCCTTAAACATTCCTTAAACATTCCTGAATAATGCGTGCAGTGTGGCAGGGCACGTTATCCTGCTGAAAGAGACCACTGCCATCAGGGAATACCACTGCCACGGAGGAGAATACCTGGTCTGCAACAATATTTGGTACGTGTCAAATTGACGTCCACATGAATGTCCAGACCCAGAGATTCCCAACACTGCCTCCACTGGTTTGTCTTTTTCCCACTGTGTATTCTGGTGCTATCAATTCCCCAATAGTACTTCTAAAAGGTATTCATTCTTGCAAGTGGGACAAATGAAGCAGCAAGTCAAATGTTTGTATTTTATTGTTAATTTTATGAGATATATGGAATTAATTTTCTGCACAATAATTCCGATTCTCCACAAGGGGGCCCTATTAGCACTCAAGTAGCTTTTACGCCCATCATTACAGAGATGAAATGCATGTATGAACCCACACCAGCATGATTTTGTGTATGGATGCTGTCACAGATTTGTGAAATCATTTATTATCTAAAGGTAATTCTCAGTGTTAAAATGTGGGTTTTAACTTAATCAGTTAATTCTAAATAAACACAGCAGGCAATGCTTCAGCCAAAGATATCTTTGTGCTTACGTTTTTTTTTGCAGATGAACAGTAAAATCCCAATTCATGTCTAGCTTTACCACTGAAATTAGAACCCCAAACTAACGAACATTTGTTCTATAGTGTTTCAACTACCCGATGGACTACAACTACCATAAACACTACGCCTGAATGTGCTTCTCAGTTTGTACAGCTGAGCCTTTGCTGTGGGAAATGTTTGATATTCCACTCGGCATGTAGTGAGAAGAGTTGGTGAATTACATAACTGGCTACAATTCCCGTGCACACTCTGAAAAAAGATGGTTCTTCAAGGGTTCTGTTTTAAAGACAATAGTTCTCTGAAGAACCTTATGCGCTGAAAGTTTTTGGGTGGTGAAATGTTCTTCAGATTGTTGGAGAATGTGTGGTAAATGGTTTTATATAGAACCTTTTGGAAATGCGTTCTAAGTAGCTCCAAAAATGGCTCTTCTATTGTTACAAGCTTGACTTCACAACAACATAAAAACCCTTTTTGGTGCTATATTGAATCGTTTTATCAGGCTTTGGTCCCTCAAACACTGCATTTACTGCATGTAGCGATTCAACTCTGTCCTTCAGATTGAAGGTTTTTTACAGTAAAAGTCTCACTGTGTTGAACCAGTAGGGTTTTTAGTAGAGTTTTAATTTTGTCTAGAGCTAATAACCAAATTCAACTACAATTGACTTGACCTTGCTAATGGTCTTGTGGCTGAATACAAAGAAATCCTCACAGCAATGTTCCAACATGTAGTGTAACGCTGTGTCAGAAGGTATACATACTGTTACAACCCCAGCTGTTCAAAAATCACCCTCAAAGTCCTCCTCATGCAGTGGACTAGAGCGTGAAAAGGCTACGAAAGCTCTGAGATGGGTTTTTGTGATCACTGTAATTTGGGTTTAGTCCCTGACCATCTCACTTACTGCGCATGAAGACTGACACTCGATGGATTCTGGAGCGTTAGACAGAAAACAGCGTGGGAGCTGAAAGAGTAAGAGACTTGCAGATTGTGATTCAGGAGATGCCTCTAGGGCTGCCGGCCTTGCCTGGCATTAGGGCTGCACACAGTGTGGTTGAACTGCATTAACCTCCTCACTCCGAACCTCCATTATACTGGACATTTCGCCCCAGGCATTCTAGCTCTACAGAAACAGGTATTTCTCCACACTCACTTTGGTGTTTTTACAGGATGCTGTACAGAACCTGGGTGATCATTTAGTAGAATGTTTTCTTAAATTTGGCCGTTGACTAAATGAAACAATTTTTGAATGATTTTGTATTTATTTCAGAAATGTTTACTGTCCTCCTAGAATGTCCCTCTTGTGAAAAGTAAAAAAAGGAAATAGTAGATATTTATTTCTATATGCACAAATTTGTAGATAAATTTTAATGTCCAGTAATCTGAACATTTGGACTGAAAGTAGTAAATTATGTTTTGATTAGTCAAAATCAAGATTTTTGTTAACTTTGTTGAAAGTAGAATCATGTGTGTATTTAGGTGTCAGGCATTCCTCTGGATCTGAGAACTACACTTCCCAGAACTCTCTTGGTGATCACGTGACTGCTGATCAGCTAAAAACAACCAATCGATGCTCTTCCTCACCTGAATGCTAATCTGTTACGCCTATTTTGCTTGTCAGTTAGTTTATAGGTCTGGGCTTTTAGCTTAGCAATTTGCGAGGTATTCCTTCATTTCTTTGAGCTACTGAGTGATTTTGCCTTTAGTGGATCTGAACTGTGTTTTTGGACCTTTGACTCTGATTTTTGTCTTTGCTGTTTTGATCTTGGTTGCCTGGTTGTTTTTCCTCTTTTTGGACCGTTTTAGATCTGACCTGTACATGTTTTTGACTATGAGCTTGGATCACATTTCAAACAGTAAAGTCTCTTCATTTAATAACGTCCGTGAGCATCTGTGCAGCTGGGTTGCTTTACATTAGGAGTGACAGTAGATGATGTTCTATTAATTCTATTAAAATTAATTTGGGAATAATAAAGTTTTTTTGTGATTTCAATAGATTTCACTGGCCATTATACTGGACATTGAAATTAGGCACATGAAATCAGCAAGATGTTGAAGAATGAACATATTTGTTATCATTGACATAACAGACTTCAATAAAACCCTGAACACTGCAGAAATGTTATTTCTGTCTGACAGTGGGCTAATAAAGAAAGTATATAATTTAATATGTGCAATATTGCATAAAATGTAATATAAGTAATGTATTCTGGCTTATTTTCATCAGTGACCTTGATTGTTTCAGTGATTTTGTTAATTTTGAGTATAGTAAATCAAGGTATATACTTTTAAAAGTTCTTTGTTTATTATTGTGATATGAAAAGTGTTATGGAAATGATTTAATATTTTATTAGTTATGTAACAATCCAGTGAGCTCCAAGAGTTCATAATGTTTTGCATGCCTCTGAATGCAGTGAACACAGAAAAGGTTCAGTGCTTGCTTTGTGTCTTGTTACAGTGGTGATAGTAAATGTGCTATATATATATATATATATATATATATATATATATATATATATATGTGTATATGTGTGTGTTATTTAGTATATATGTTATGTTATTTAATATGCAGAACAGAACATGTTTCATAACAAAACACTGTTATGTTTTTGAAGTGTCCAGTCTTGGGACTGAGGAGGATAATTTGACCAAAACAACTTTCATTAAATATCTTTATTATCACTCACAGAAGCTCATCTGGACTGAAACTGGTCAGGCTGTTCACAGCTCAGATTGGTTTTAGCCTTACCTGGCATTAGCTTTGGTAGGTGATACTGCCAGAGAAAGCAGCCGGTCATGATGATGGACAGCATTAGGAAGAAGACCAGGCCCAGATGAGTCCACTTCACCTTCATCCTGCTGCTCTTGGTAAGGCTTTCTATGGCAGCTGCTGGACTAGGCTGAAACAAACAAACACACTAAATTAGCAATTATACATGCAAAGCGGATAGAAAACATTCGGTCATTTCAAATATCCAAATAAAGAAATTTCACATTACATACAATTCATTTCAAATCGTTTAAAGCTTAATTGAGGGATTAGGTCCTGATGCCAGACTTGCTTGTTGTCATCATATTCAAAATCCCTGTGGATCGTTAATCAAGTTTAGCCTGGATTTGACTAGTGCCAGAATGGGTAACAGTGAGAGTCGAGTATTTAAGTTGACTACATAAAGAACACAAGAAAACAGAAGAAAGCACAGACAAACTGTAACGTTACAACCAATTTGTAAGAATTTAGAGGTTAAATCAGTTTTCCAGTGTAACAATTTTCATACATGAATCATACGAAGGCAGACAGCACTGGCAAAAAGAGGAGAAAACAGTGCCCAGAAGACAAAAAATAAGCACCTGAGGAAGATGCAGTGAAATGATTCACAATATCATATGTATCCAAGCAGATGCGCAAGGAGAAATACTTGCAGGAGCTTTGCTAGCATTAGTTTGAGGAACCCTCAGGACCTTCTAGGCCTTCAAAGAAGGACGAATGATGTCTGGGAACTAAGAAAACCTGTGGCTATAATTTTTAACTTTTTTATTTAAAAGATTAATCATGCTTGTACTTAAATTCTGCAGGTACTGTTGTCATACTCTTATTTCACGGTTAAGTTTAAGTCTCCCAAAAGAAACTCACTGTGAAACTGCAATGTAGAAGGTAAAATGTATGTTTATATCTGTTTTATGCTTCTGATAAAACATATAGAACATCTTTTAGACGTTTACAGTGTTTTAAATCTAAAGTGGTCCAAAAAAATGTGCATCAGCGTTAGCTTAGCGCTAACATAATATTAGGAATCCTATTTGGGGTGCTGACAGAAAGGTAAGGTTTTTGGGAGTTTTGACATTTATGGCCTGAAATGAAGCCCTAGCTCTAATAATCATGCTTCACCACTGGTTTGTAGCATATTAACTGTCATAATTATGTCACATTTAACATAATTTCATAATTTTGTTCATTGCATTGCAGTAAATAAATGAGAGTAGAATTTAGGAAAAAAGCTGTGAACAAACCTAATTAAACACAATTAGTGGTTAACTGCTGTTCACTGACCTTTCTCTGCCAAGTTAGCAGTCAGTGAAAAGTTATCTATTAGCATTTAGAAATGAAAGAGTGAATTATTGTATGTAAACATACAGACTTGTCTGCATCACATAACTCTTAGTCTGAAAACAAGTCCCACTCCAGCTCTGGACGTGACCGTAATCTTGTCATTATAACTCTTGAGGCTAATATGCAATAATAATGTTTTGTGGTTAAATAAAAAAGATTCAAAGAAAAGGAACCAGAGGATCTGTCACCTGACCTGAATTTCAAAGTGTGTTTATGTTCAAATTGTAATTAGCACAGTGACATTAAACAGAAAACAAGGTAGTTCAAATTTCCGGCCACTATAACTTCCACAGTGAGGTCTGGATTAGATCCAGAGGAATTAACAACACGGTGAAAATGGCTGGTGCACCATGTGTTGTGACAGAGAATCTTCCTCACCACTCTACACTCAAACTACACTTCAAAAGAAGGTTTCCTAAATGGTTCATGGTCTGGATGTTCTGTTCTGGGATAAATCTTCAATTGGTACATAATCTGTACATTATATACTAATATAATACATACGTATACTATTTACTGTTCACACATTTCATTACAAACAGGGCTCTTTGAAAATCCACGCACTGAAATGTTCTTTTTTGGCATCTTGATTTTTAACATAATTCCCATTTTCCAAAATGGACCGGCTGCATCTACACTGTCAGGAGAAAGGGTTCTGTACAGGCGAATTTTTGTTCATCAAGATACTAACAATGTTAATGTCCCCTCAAAGGTACAACAATGATCTTCAAGTGCAATTATGCGCTTTAATGAGTTTTAGATGTACACTACATTCACTTGCCCAGAGGAAAGGGGCATGTTTGTACCTTTTATATGAACTAATGTTTTAAAGCAGAAACATAAACAGCCTGCAGTCAGGGGTCCATGGAGTCAGTGTAACTTAAACATATAACTGCAAAGAAATATGGTGAAAATATGTTCCCTAATTAAAGCTACTGAAGACGTGGTGTGAGGTGAGGGTACCACCCCAGTGACCGTACCTGTTTTCTGAGAGTGCACTTTAATGGAATTGTTTGTCTAGATAATACTGATGCTTGAAAATAAGTCCAGAACCACCACAGTGGAACCAGCACACTTATGTGAAATGGATTGGGGTTGGGGGAAGGGTGGGAATAAAGACTAAACTGACTGGAAATGCTCACAAAATCCTTGCGCAACAACAACATGCATGCCTGCTCTCTTACAAATAAAGGTTCCTGAGTTGTTTGGGTTTAGGAAATGTCTTTGATTAGTACAGGACCTGTAGATCATGTGAAGCATCCGCTGGAAGGTTCTTCAGGGAACCAAAAGTGGTTCTTCTATGGCATCCTTCTTGGCACCTTTGTTGTTAAGAGGGTAGATACTCACCACATGAAAACATGTATATTCCCTCCTGAGTCGCTTGTACAAATCAGATAATATGCCGACTCTCCATGTTTGGGGATCCTACTTGTCCGAAAGTGCTGAGCGTCATGTTGGCTTATCCCAACCTAGGACGACCGGCCACAAACACTGTTGAGTCCCACCATCTCTACGCACTGGTCATGCCGTAATCCCGGCCAGCGAGGCTGCACCAGCAATTCAATTTCCTCTCCCACCACGGCGGACTGCCTGACATCATAATCCCAAGATTTACTCCGCTAAAACCCATCGGAGCAGGGGTCTCACCTAATCCCTGCAAATCAATTCACTTCAGGCTGGTTTGCTGCTATGGGAGCTCCTGCTATGCCACACTGTGGTGGCTACTGGAGGGGAAGAGCTGAACGTTCTGAGCCCAGGAGCTGTTTTCTCATGGCTTTGTGGACAAAGAGGACGGCTGACAAGTCATGCCAGGCTTTATCACGTAACCCAAGGAGATCCCTCGCTCTGAACTGACTGCTGACGAGGGGAGATGCCAGGGAGATGAGTGAGGGAGGATTACATAAAGCCAGAGTCTTCGCAGTCCTGGACTGAATCACAATGTTGAGTTCAGGGCATTTCCCACTTCATAGAAAGCAGTGGACATTCTTATGTCACTTAACCCATAAAACAGTGGTTTGGCCAGACAGTTTTTCCCTCATCCCGTATTTCAGCAAAGACTTTACTGGTGTCTGAGGGTTCCTTCTTTAGTTTTGGACTGTAGCCGTGAGGCTAATGTAGCTAACCGGTAATGGAAGCTTAACAATAAGTTTTGTAATAACCTCAACCTCAGTCAAGTTGTTAAATAATCTCAAATAGACTTGCTTATGTGGTTACTGACACTGTATAACAGGAGTGTCCAGTCTTATCCACAAAGGGCCGGTGTGGCTACAAGCTGGAGCTCAACTGATTCCACTTGTTTAATCAGGTGCTCAGCGTTCAAACAACTGATCTTGTTGGAATGAAAACCCGCAGTCACACCGGCTCTGTGGATAAGATTGGACACCCCTGCTGTATAACATACTGTTAGCTACACTAAATGACCAAAAGTTATAGTATATAGCTAAAAACAGTAGCAGCTGTCTTGAAGTATGGATTTTATCTGTACTTTTGTCCATTCATATAGACAACAGAGGGTCATACAGTGTCAGAAACTATATAAGCAAGTCTGTTTAAGATTACTGAACAACTCAAACCAGTTTGAGGGAAGTGTTGATGCTTTAGACATGAATGTGGTGTTAGCATCTATTATTTGTTAGCTACATTAGCCTCATAGCATCTGTGTTAACCTGCTCAAACTCATATGGACACACACCGATCAGGCATAACGTTCTGACCACCTCCTTGTTTCTACGCTTATTGTCCATTTTATCAGCTCCACTTACTATATAGGTGCACTTTGTAGTTCTACAGTTACAGACTGTAGTCCATCTGTTTCTCTGATACTTTGTTAGCCCCCTTTTACCCTGTTCTTCAGTGGTCAGGACCCCCATGGACCCTCACAGAGCAGGTACTATATGGGTGGTGGGTCATTCTCAGCACTGCAGTAACACTGTCATGGTGGTGGTGTGTTAGTGTGTGTTGTGCTGGTACAAGTGGATCAGACACAGCAGTGCTGCTGGAGTTTTTAAACACCTCAGTGTCGCTGCTGGACTGAGAATAGTCCACCAACCAAAAATATCCAGCCACCAGCGTCCTGTGGGCAGCGTCCTGTGACCACTGATGAAGGACTAGAGAATGACCAACAAAAACTGTGCAGCAGCAGATGAGCTATCGTCTCTGACTTTACATCTACAAGGTGGACTGACAATGTAAGAGTGTCTAATAGAGTGGACAGTGAGTGGACACAGTGTTTAAAAACTCCAGCAGCACTGCTATGTCTGATCCACTCGTACCAGCACAACACACACTAACACAGCACCACCACGTCAGTGTTACTGCAGTGCTGAGAATGATTCAGCGACTACAGGGACTTCAATGCAAACTGGTTGACCTATTCTTAGTGTTTCGGTCCATCCTTCCACTTTGAGAAGACAACTCAGCGCTGTGGGTCTGAAAGGATGTGTAGCTGTCAAGAAGCTGTTACTGAGAAAAGGAAATAGACAAAAAAGAGGAATATTTGAAAATCAAACAAAGTTGACCACTCCAAAGTCCAGACCTCAACATTGTTTAATGTGTTTGGCTACTTGGATCGCGAGAAGATTTCATATATATATATATATATATATATATATATATATATATATATATATATATATATATATATATATATATTATATATATATATATATATATATAAAATGCAGATGCTGAAAAATGAATAACTCATATTTAAATGCCATTTTGACTGGAAGCCAATTACATGAAGGGTGGTCTCTGACT